ATCGCCTTTCTGAAACGTAAAACTGAGGTTTCTTTTGATCGACTTAAGGTCATCGGCAGTGAACTAGCTCCTGACAAAATTGGATCAATCAGTGTTATTGCACCTAATTCATCAAATTAAAACCACTTATACCCGTAATCAAGACTTACTAGAGTCTCTTGATGTTAATCAAATTGGACAACCGGGTCGAGATAAATTTGATGAAATGGCGTTACTTCTTGAGTTACGCTTAAGAGGTCACATTCAACAACGGAAAGGTGAACATCAAACGAACTCTACCATGTGCAACGATGATTCGTCAACCTTTAGAGTGTGTAATCGCTCTCGTGTTCCCGAACTAAAATTGCCATCTTTTTCTGGAGGATATACTGAGTATGCAGATTTCATGTCGATGTTCTACACAATCATAGATAACGATCCCGAGTTAACCAACATCGAAAAGCTGCAACACTTGCGTTCCTGTCTACTTAGCCCAGCGCTGGATGCCATACAGTCGTTAGATATATCGTCAGCCAACTATCCAGTGGCCTTAGATCTGCTTAATAAACGGTATTCTAAAAAAGTCTTGTTTTCCAGTCTCACATAAAGGAGATACTTGGTCTCAAAAGGGTGGACTCTTCGGCAGCACATAAACTTCGGGAGTTTTCGGACAAAATCAACTCACATATGCGGGCTTTGAATTCGTTGGAATCAGCTCAGGAAATTGCTGACTCCTTCATCATTTAAATGGTCTTGCAAAAATTGGATTTTTCCACGCAAACTGGTTGGGAAGAGGCCACCTCCATGGACAAAATACCCTCGGCGAAGGAATTTTATGATTTTTTGGAAAATCGTTGCCGAAAACTGGAGAACCTTCAACATGCTATGGGGAATTATGCCTCAAATTCTCAGGTGGGAGCAAACAGTAGAAGTAGCTCTATTAATAGTAGAAGATCATTTGTTGCCTACCAGAGTAACAATATATGAGAATGAGCATCCCATTTATCTATGTCCTAGGCTTGAACATTTATCTCCCTCTTTGCGAGATGCTGAGATCAAAAAGCTGTCTCTGTGCTTCAACTGCTTAAAACGTGGGCACAATACTCGAGCTTGTACAAGCCGCGTTTGTGGAAATAGGCAACACACATTACTGCATTTTTATACAATCTCTTCGCAGCTAGCAATTGAAACTGATTCTGCCATTATTTCTGAAGTTAACGCCTCCAGTTCTCAGCCAACTACATCTCTAGTCGTTCAAGGTCCAGCTTCTGATTTTACGCTATTGGCCACTGCACTATAGGAAAAAAGTTTATTTTTTTAGCATAAACTCTAGTTTTAGAAATACAATTTAGAAATTTTTTATATATACTATTAAGATAAAGCTGTAATTTCGGTTTTGGTTGCTTTTTGAATCGGGCCATTGCTTTCATCCACCGCCCACGCCGCATATTCAAATTAATTGGCAGGGATTTTAAAAAATTTGTATTTGTATTGGTAAGACGGTAAAATAATTTCGGTTTACGTTAATTTTTAAAATTTGTAAAAAAAAAAAATTTGCTAACATGTACAAGAAAAGTGAAATATTATCTAAGAGCAGATGCCAATTTTAGCTTTAACGGGGGTAAAGCTTCTTTATTTTCACTTGACTTGTCCCTTTCCATAAATTCAATTTTTAAGATTAATGAAAGCCACTTAGATTGTTTTTTTATTTAAGAAATATTTTTTTTATGTTTATAAGTTGCTGGATTTAAGTCATTTTTTTAAGAAACGTGCAAAAAGTTGCAAAAATGATTAGTTTTGCGATATTAAGGATACATTTGGTAATAACTTTCCGTTTTTACCTTTTTGCAACTTTGTGCCATTTATAAGTTGTACACCACGGAACACAAACAAACTTGTTAGTTTTAAGCTAAAAAGATGCACATTTAAAACAGTTCACAGTTGGACAACAAGCCATAATAATCAAAACATGAAATCTAAGATACATTTATAAATACCTTTGCTACGATTTGACATGATCAGAAATAATAAACCATTTTGTTGCTCCACAAAATAAGCACTGAAAGTTTGCAAAGATTTTTCACTAATTTACGCACACAACAAAGTCAATCAAACAGCTGACTTTGTTCGTTTATCAACCCTATAGTGTTGCTAGTATAAAATCTTAGATAAGTGTTCTTGGCTAATTAGGGTATGTAAATTCACAAAATATATTTTATTTTTAAAAATAATTTGTAAAATAAGTTGATTTTATGCCAAAAAAATTGACTTTTTTTCCATAGTGCATCGGTTAAAAATTTATTCCCGATGAAAGTTTTATATCTCTATCTCTCTGTCACTCCCTTTAGCTGAGTAACGGGTATCTGATAGTCGGGGCCCGACTATACCGTTTTCTCATAATAAGAATGTTTACAAATCATGACACCCCATAGAACAAGGGCGGGGAATTTGAAATAATTGTCAAGGCAAGAATTTACCGGAGTTTGAGGTGCAACCACAATATAATTATTAATAAGCAGGGTTTGGAAAATAACACACAAAGTAGGGGAGAGTGGGGCACTAATAGGGAGAAAGGTTTGGTTAGACATAGCAGCTATAAATAAAAAGCCATTAAAATGAAACTGGTATCACCGGAAAGGCTGTTCTTTTGGCTATAACTTTTCGAACATCATTTTGAAGTCAATTGCAAAGTTTTCGAGGAACGTTGGAAAATGTCAAATTAACAAATGTCGAGACTTGCTTTCGCTGTTAACGGTATAGGGTAAAAGAGATAATTTTCATAAAATTTTTTTGGACTCTTTGGACTTCTTTGGTATTAAAAATACGTCTACAGCTGTTTGACGCGGAGGTCCATATTTTTGTGGATTTTTTATTTTTCTTCCTTCTTCTTTAAAAATTCTGCGTTGTCAAATTTTGTTTTGACAGGCTAACTATTCCTTGTGTATTATACATGTGAGAAACAAAATGTGAAGTATTCTATTTAAATAAAAGACACAAGAAAAATACATGTATTTTATTCTGACAATAAGTCGTGTACTTTATTTGTGACGTGTGCGAAATAATCTCGATTTCGTACATCACTGTTAATTAAAAATACATGTATTTTTCTTAATTTAATTTAAATAGAATACTTCACATTTTATTTCACACATGTATAATTCACAAAGAATAACACAATAACTCTGCGTTGGAAATTTTCATGTACTGTACATATATGTATTGTTTTCCGAAACCTGTTAATAAGTCATGTATGCAAATAATTTCGTTTTCGATGATGATATTATGATCATAAAACATCAATGAATATCATAAAAATATTATTGACTTATAAAGCTAACGCAAAGTATTTTTAATTTTTATACTGCCGGATTTAAATCCGCCAGCCAAATGTTTCCGTGTGAATTTTTTGGAAGTGAACAGAGTAACAACAGAGGGTAATTCGATTCCGTGCAGTTCTTTCGGAAGTGAGACTTGGAACGGGTCTGGGAAATTCGTATCCGTGTGAATCTCTCGGAAGTGAAAACTAGAACATGACCAATACGGCCCTATAAATTGAATCTTTGAGGGATCGCACTTTAACTTTCTTAAATGGCTCAACACAAGGGTTCAAGATACAGCGCAACGCAAGCAACTCTCTCGCAAGAAACAGCATTTCCAAAAAAACAACGCTATAATAGTTACAGTTCATACGCCAAAAACTATCGTCGCAACGCGCCGCGTTTTTACCGCATGGGTTCTTCTTTTTCCTTTCGAAGAAAAAAATAAGAAGCATAATTCCACTTTTCTGTTTTCAAGAATATAATTTTGTTTTTATGACGACTTTCTAGATTCTAGAAAAGGCTGAAGTACATTTTTTCTTTATTTAACTGAAAAATCGACAATTTAAGAAACATTTTGGAGAGCAAACTAGGAAAAAACGCCATTAATTTTAGAAAAAATTGTTTCAAGCGGAAGATCAACGCTGCAACAAATAAAGCAATGCGGAAATATGTTATTGAATGGACCTGTCTACTATGCCAACGTGCTAAAATCGCAGTTCCGAACGACAGATGCACTGTCAACAGATTCACTGTCGTGTGATGCACACGAACTGGCTCAACTTATGGGAAGTGAACTCATGCATACTACAGGTCTTTTAAGGCAGCAATGATGTGTCACCAAAACACTCCTTAGCCAGAACTACTTCCTGTCTTCTCTTGCTAGGACTTCGAATGTGCTTAGTTAATATAAAATAAAAAAATAAATAAAAAAAAAGCTCAACCTGTTTACCTGCGGATTTAGGTACAGAAATTATGTGCAAAATTTCAGAACGATCGATTTCAGATTTCGATGGACAATGTTCACCGACTTAAAAAAAACATACTTTTCAGGAGAACGATTTAAAGTTTTGAATAGGTATAGGGGACGCTGGGACCGCCCCTCGTTCAAATGGTCATATTTTTTGTAATTTTCATCCGATTGACATGAAATTTTAACACAACATTCTTAACGTGTTGTACATTCCCTTAAGGAGGATCTCAACTCATCGGCTGCTAAACGAATTCTTCGATGACATAGATGCAAGCCCAGACCCTGCCCCTTTTCTCAGTAGTTATCGCTAACAGATGCGAAAAATACGTCCAACTCCAGCTGCACTTCATAGCAGCCAAAAAATGTTACGTCTTAAAGGAATAGACAAACGCTCCCTCGTAATCATTCGCACCGATACTGTCAAACATTCGTTAGAGCCACCATACACTGGCCCGTTTGAAGTTTTACATTGCAATAAAAACCGAGTATTTACCTTAAACGTCAACGAAAAAGAAGTAGCAGTTTCTGTGTACAGAATAAAACCCGCTTTCATACTTAGAAGTGGTGCTCAACTGGACCAACATGACGTAGTTACGGTCACACTCTCTTTGCCGACGCAGATTATTCTTATTGCTAATAAACAGCTGATCAAATTCAGCAATTCAATTATTTTTGACTAATTAGGTTTGTCCACAGATATAAGAGTATTGTAATTAAAACGTTGTAATTACCATAACTATGCACATTAGCACTTGTAAAGTAAACATTCCAAACGATAAATACGCCAAAGTTGTTAGTGCAATGTCAGTAATGTCCTTGAAGTTTATTTCTCTCTTCTGTTTCGATAAATCGGTTACAATGTTTAGACGTTCGGAATTTTCTTCATAATGAGATGAGGAATCTCTATAAAGATTTCCGTATCCTTTAAAAAATATTATTATTATTATTATTCTTTTTTTTTTTCATCATAATCATCATAATCATATTTTATTATTTAAGGACTTACCATTTTTACTATTTTTGTTTACATCTAAACCAATATTATCTTTTAAGATGAACTTGGAATAAATTCCAGGTGTAGGCTCAGGCTGTTAAGAATAAATACATTACATTGATCTATCGATTAGTAATTACTATAAATTTAATCATACTTACTATGTTATTATTGCTTGGAAGTTCAATACCCTCATAAGCATATCCAGTAATATCTCCATAATCATATTCTTCCTCTGCTGGGGTGTATGGTTCAATTATATCTGGCAAACTTCTGAACTGTTTCGCACTACCTTGCGTAAACTTATTAACTCTTTTTAAATAAGTCTGGACATCATCTAAAGCAATAGCTCTGTAAAAATGTGTCAAAATAAAAATATAATTTTATAAATAAGATCAGGGAGAGTGTGGTAAGGAGGGTATGAAAAGTTTGATTGAACATATCAGCCATATCAAATTACAAAATAAAATCGACCTCTTCCTCATCGAAGACAACCTTAATTTTCCGGTTAAGGGCCGGTTTCTCGAGTCCCTGTCAAAGTCCCTGATAGCTGTCTGTTCGTAAAACTTAAATACCAGATAAACTGTTCGTAAAAGCAAATCGGCTTTCTCGACTGCTTTAATTTATCTGAACGAGAAACAATTACAGAGTGCTGTTAACGCACAGAATTGTGCTGTGAAGCGCAAAAAATGGCGTGCTTCGATTATTTCATCAGCTGTTTGGGTATAATTCAAAGGAAAAGTCAGCTGTGATTTAGTTTCTTCTTCTTAGTTGGCTTTGGGAAATCAGCTGTCATTCTATCGAGTCGAAAACGCTTAACAGGGACTCCGAGTCCCTGTCAAAGTTAGCTCTCACATTGGTGCTCGAGAAAGCAAAAATGCCTTAGCAGGGACTTTATCTGTTCGAGAAATGTTAGCCGGCACTCGAGAAACCGGCCCTAAGTACATCTCCCCGATTAAGAAATGGGCACTTAAATTTTTTTGTGTGGAGCAAATTTTTTAATTCTTAATTTTAATTTTTAATTTGAAATTTTGAAATGTTAAAGAAAAGCTATATCTCAGAGAAAAAAAGAATGTAAGAAAAAACAACAAAAATTAAATTTTTTCCCTTTAATTTCCACATAATTTTTTGACCGTTCCTATGGCAGCTATTTGATATAAAGAACCGATTTTTTAAAAATTTAATTCGAAATTCAGAAATATTTAAAAAAAATTGTTCCCAAGATTAGAAGGTAATATTTAAAAAAACATTGAAGCTATATTTGTTTTTTACTTTTTTTTCGATTTTTCATAGGGGAGATATACGATTCAGTTGTCCGATCCAGCCGGTTCCAACTTATATACTACCTGCAATAGAAAGAAGACTTTTGGAAAAGTTTCATCCCAATAGCTTAAAAACTGAGAGACGGACAGACGGTCATGGCTGGATCGACTCGTCTAGTGATGCTGATCAAGAATATATATACTTTATGGTGTCGGAAACGTCTCCCTCACTGCGTTGCAAACTTCAGACTGAAATCATTATACCCTCTGCAAGGCATTATGGGAAAAATTCCAATTTTGGTGCGTAAGCCTATAGATTTTTATAATTTACTACACACAAAAAATAAACTTGGTAAAATCAACTGTAATAAATTAATTAATGCCCTAAATCGAAATTAAAACAATTGAGTGGTTAGTAGATTCCATGAATAATAAAAAACAGAAAAACAATAGTATTTTAAACAAATTATTTCCAATTATTTCTACACACAAAAAAATTTTCTTGGTAAAATTGACCAACAAAGATAGTTACGTAACTATTAAAATAGTTAAGTGTATTTTGTTTTTGCTTTGGGTTTGTGTCTTTGCTAATTGTGTGTATTTTGATGTTGTGAAATGACTATTTACTTAGTAGAATTGACAATTTTTCTGGTTGGGGCCTGTTTGACAATTATTACAGTTGATTTTACCAAGTTTTTTTTGTGTGTAGATACTGAGCTCTTTCAGAATTAAAAGTTGAAAATCTTTAACGCTGTTCCAGTGACAGGAATTTGTCCCCCTGAAAAATTTGTTGAAAATTTCCCCCTGAAAAAGTTTACCTGGTGCAAACCCCTGAAATTTTTCATAGGATTTTATTTTGGAATCAAGCACTACATGCCAGAGAGTCCGAGAGTGCTTTGAAGCCCACATCACAAACATAAGACCTAAAACTCTGCAAAAAATTTGGGTCTGAATCGTAAGTTAGAGGAGGTTTTAAAATTCGGCTCCTGAGGACTCCCAGGAAAAATGCAAAATTGCTTGATTAAAACATTAGGCCTTTCCACAGTTTTCAACCAAACAAGTTGATATTTTTATTTTAAGCTTTATTTGTGGAAAGCTTTAAATTTAAAGAAGATGAGTTCCAACCGATTTAAATTTTTCCGCACCGATTATGATGTCGGATCTGTCTGCCATACAATTAACAAGGAATTTTTATACCCGGGTAATTTTACGTGAAACGTGACAGGCCCATTTGGGTCAAATCTCAGAATCAATCGAAACTTTTTTTTCGATAGAGGATTAAAATATAAGGATCGGTTTTTTTTTTTTTTTTAACTCTTACCGTTTATTTTTAAAAAATATTTTTCTAATTAAGCTCCGATTTTTAAGTTATGCAGCACTTGAGACTCGTTTGAGATATTTAAATATTTGGTATGCAACTTTGTGGGACATCTTAATATCTTTCAGAAAAATATTTTAAAAAATTTTTCATTTTTAAAGTGAATATTTTTTAATTGCTTGCAAAGTTGTTAAACTAAAATCGGCCACTCGAGTTTTTCAATCGGCCTTTGCCACCACGCTGACCGGTAATCCGACCTCCAGATTGGGAGATGTAGTTTGCCACTTTGCTTTTGCGTTGAAGACTGTGGACATATTCCTTGGACCACGCTCGCCAAAAGCAGTGTCGGAGCATGGATAGCAGTTGTCACCTCTTCACGCTGACTTCACGGCCGCCTCCCACAAACCCCCAAAATGCGGTGCTCGTGGTGGGATGAACCTCGATGCCCTTCTTCACGAAGAACAGTTCAAACTGCGACTGCTGATCCTCGAAGGAGCTGTGAAGACTTCTTAGATCGTCGCGTTGTCGGAATGTACTCAATGCGGTAAAACAACAATATACATCGTCCTCGAATACGCAACGAAACATTGAAAGAACCAACTAAATTTACGCAATAAATATTAAGTGGCATAACTGATTCGAGCCAATCCGCAGGCAGATTTCATATAATTTGGTTAATCAGAACAGGCAAATATCTCAAACAATGCCCACAAGGAAGTTTAGCCACAATGCGCTCAAACATTTTTGAAATATTTTTTGACATTTTTGACCTGATTTAAGAATTGGAGTAACTGTAGCTAACGTCCATCTATGAATGAACATACCACTGGAGAGGGACTTGTTAAAAATTATTTTGAGGGGGTCACATAGAACATCAATACAAATAGAATACAGGGAGAAAGGCCATCGCAATCCATACGTTCTGAGTCATTAAAGCTCGCGGCAGCAATATGGCAGTCAAAGTCGGACACATTTAGATTTCCTATATTTAATAGAGAGTCGATGGAAAGAAGCGTTTCATCATCATTCCAAGACGAAGTTGGCTCGAAATTGGATGAAAAAATGTAGCAAACAAGTTAGCAACCTCCAAGTCCGAGGAAGTCATTTCACTATTAAGAGACATGTGGGAAGGGATGTTTGATGTTCTTCTTTTGGAGTTTACAAAGTGCCAGAAGGATTTGGGATTCAAACGTAATTTACTTTCAACATCTGACATATATTGGCTATAAAGAAATTTGTTTAAGAATTCGAATTCACGCTTGTGCAGCTTGTATCTTTCAAGATCTGCAGGGTCACCGCTCTCAAGGTAACGCTTGTAGATCTTATTACGGAGATTTTTGTATTTTTTGAGTCCCCGCGTATACCAGGGTAGTTTATAAGAACTTTGTATATCATGTCGAATAGAATTTAACCTATTAGCACTTATATAAGTTAAGCACAGCAATATTTTATATAATTTTCCAAGAAATATTGCAACATTGTTAATCAACAACATTGCAACATTGTGACAATTTCGTCCAGAGTCAGATCTTAGAGTTCAATAACATAAACACGAGCATCCGGTCAGTTGCCACAACGCAAATCCATAAATGCCAATTCTGCCGATCTTGCAGTTTCTGCAGCTCAGCCAGAAGTCTGCCGCCACCGCAATTCGGCTCTGCCGATATGAACGTTGCCTCTGCCGACATCAACGCCGCTGCCAGCGACTGCGCTGCCCCTGGAAGTTAACTGGCGCCCGAACTGGGACCAGCGCGATAAAATCCGATTAAGTTCGATAAAGTGCAAAATTAATTCGCGCAACTCTAAAATTGAGGAAATCCGATTAATTTCGATCCGCGCAAATTATATTTACTGTGCAACTCCGCTGGCCCAACTTTAAGTCAAATTCAGAGGGACTCCTTCGCGAAATAATTTCTGAAGCTGAAGACGACAACCGGTCGGTAAATTAAATTTTACTGATCCATCGGTGGACTACAAGTACTGTCTGGTACGCCCGCAGGACAACCTCTATATTGTGTGAGTCGCAGGATTCCTAGTAGGCGACAAAAAGGAAGACATCCGGACTACCGGGAGGAGTAGCCACATCAAGTTAAGTTAAGTAAGATAGTGAATAAGTGAACAACCAAAGGAAATGCAAATCAATCCAATTAATTAAAAGTTTAAAGCAAGAAAATTTTAACTGAGCTAATCAGAATTAATATTAAAATTTCAAAGTTAAAATTAATATTTTAAAATTAAAAATCTACCCTAAAAATAAAAAAAATAAATTTAAAGAAAATTTAAAATTAAATCAAATAAAACTTAAAGTTTAATTCTACAACATTTTAAATATCAAAATATTAAAATTTGTCAATAATTAAAATAAGTTTAAAATTAAAAATCAATTTAATAATTAAAAGTAATTTTAAATTTTTTGCAAATTAAATTTAAAACGATTTTAAAATATTTATATTTGTAATTTCCATAATTTTATTAACATTTAAAATAATTTACGATGGACTTTACTGTAAGACAGACCCATGAATTTATTCCCCTTTTCTAAAAATTTTAACAAATGGCCAATCAGAGAAATTTATTGAGACCCCCAATCCTTAATATTGAACAACAATATCATTAATATCAGCAACAACAAAGACAGGCCCAAAGACAAGAATTATTCCAAAGAAATAGAAACATGGCATTAAATGAATTGCAAGATGCCATTAGGCAGATACTAGCAGAACAATTCCCAATTTTGTTACAACAGGCACAGAACCCAGGTTTTGACTTTG